AATGAGGCTTTGGCACATTATGAAAAGGCAATTTAAATTGATCCTTTGTTCTCAAAAGTTTATTACAACAAAAGTTTTTATGATTTCAATTACTATAGACACTTTGTTTGATGATTCGAAAAATATAAGAATACTATTCAATACTATGATGAAGATATTAAACTTGATCCAAATGATTTCTACTCTTATTACAAAAAAGGTCGTATAAATGATAGATTATAATACTATTTCTCTATAATCTCATTATGAAATTTTCTTATTGAAAATTCTTGAAAATAGATAAAGAAGCTATATTGCGTTATGATAATATAGATATAAAATTAAATTGATCATGTGATAATGCTTGAAATAATAAAGGTTCTCTTTAATTTAGATATATAGGGTTTTGAATGATAGACTAAATTTTAATTTACTACTCATAGAAAAACTTGCCAAGAATAAATAAGTAATCTAAATGTACAAAGCAGCGATAAAAATTTAGAAACGATTTATGCATTTTTTCAAAAAGAATAAAAACATTAAAAAACAAAGAGTAACTGATATTTATTATAATGTTAATCAAAAATTAGTGAATTCATAGCCTATTACAATTTTTACACTCATTAAACTCATTAAACTCATTATAAAATATATTTTCAAAAATCTCTATATATCTAATTTGATAAAGGGATTAATAAATTTACAATTTATGCATCAATTTATTATATTTTGATAGAGAAGAGTAATTTTCGATAGATATCACTTTTTTATCATGCTTACTGGAAATAGGATTTCAAGCTTAATTATTTAATCTAATAGATGTTACAATTCTTTTGCTAACATTCCTTACAGAGTTTTCTTTAATTTTTTATATTACTTAATAAAACCTACAATTTGATTTTGCTCATCAAACCTTCTTAAAAAATTTAAAAGTCTTTATGAAAAGATTTATTAATAAATTTTAAATGAAGAATATTTGAAAAATGATTAAAATTATTTTTTAAATTTATGACATTCTTCCTTATTTATTTTCTAAATTTTTATATTTTGTAACATCTTCAATCTATTATAAAATTGCTCCAATAATCTCTAATCACCCCCTGGAAAAGCAAGTCTTCACTTTTTCAAAGGGGGGGGTATTACTATTTTGTTTTCTGCTAAAAAAACCTCATTAATCGCAGTGTCTAAATGAGAAATTTGTCATACTCCATTCAGAGTGGCATTAATTGGTAAATCTACATGAATAACTTAAAATCACAATTATATCTCCCGTTAGACAGTTCTAAAGTTCTCTCTCAAATATAATAGGGAATCAATTTTTAAAACATCTCATTTAATTTGAATAAGGGTAATTAAGCTATTAAGTAGAATAATCTTGAAGACCTATTATAAAACAGTAAAAAAGGAGTAAAAATACACTAAATTAAATATATAGCCTAATTTAATTAATTTATTTATCCTAGTTTCATCACTTTAGTTTTTGATTCTATTCAAATCTTATTTATTTTACTATTAATAGATTTTAGATATCATATCACCATATTGTTTAACTTAAAGTTCATAAAATAACCATAAATTATATTCAATACTTGAGATCTAAAGGGTTCCACTTGTATTGATTGACCAAAATAAAGTTTATTAATTTAAAATATTTTTTTTTTTTTCAAATTTAGAATTCTGAAAAACACATTTATTATCTTTCCTTATTTGGTTCCAATTATAGCATCTTTCTAGTTCATTAATGATTATATTTTATTCATATTTTTATCTACTACAAATTATTTAGTAAACTTCCTCCAATTAAGTCCTACTGAATAAAACCTAATGAGATCATAGGTTGTTGGCTCTGCATATTATTAAGAGAATATTATTCCTTAACTTCATTAGATGTAAAGTAACAACTACCTTGATCCCTTCTGAAATTTGAAAAAGTAAGGATGAAAGGCTGGGAAAACTCCATAAGTAAGTATTTAAAATAGGCCTCTTGCTTTACTTAATTCCATTTATTGTTTTATAGAAGATAATTCATGATCGATCAATTATGGATTTAGAGTAATATTTTTTATGGTTTCTGGCTTGGTTGTATCATGTTTAGATACCTTAATATTTTTTATAACTATGAATTTTAATTTAAAATTAGGATTTCTGAATTTGGAGTTTTGATTAAAATCTTTAATAAAATAAATATACTCAGAGCTTTCTAAAAATTTCCAAACAAGTTAATGAAGGTTTCTTTAATTTCTAAAGTTGATAAAATGGTCAATTATGTGTGGCTTCCCATTCCTAATTCTCATTCCATAAACGAATTATCTACCTAAATTCCCTTCATCTTTAACATATCCTTATATCCCATATTGCAAAAGAACTTAGCAATTAATAATCAAGATTTTTGGTTGGAAGAGTCAAGCTCAAAAATTTATGTGAAGAGTTCTATATTATTAAGCTCATGTTAGAAAAATGTGACAATTTGCAGGTTCTTAAGCTAATTTAATCCGACTATTAACCTCTTGATTGCCTGGAACCTTAACTAAGTTTTTATTACTCAGGATTAACTTGAAGAACTATTCTCATAAAAAAACTTTAATATAATTTATTGACTTTAGATGTTATTAAATTATAGATCAATTCTTAATCTTAGGAATGAAAATTTAATGTATTTAAAATTAATTAATTTTTAAGGCTAAATTATTTAAATTCTACATAAGTTATAACTTTCTTCAATTAATTTGATTCCCAAACAATTATAGAATCCTAAATATTTATGACACAAACTATAATAGTATTATTTATTTATTTTTTATGATACTGATATATTCCCTTCACTTTTTTTTATTTTTATTAATCCCCTTCTTTCCCTTATCACTGTTTATTTTAAGATTGCTAGGAAGAAATTACCAAATTGAATTATTTCTCTTAAATTTAAGATTTCTCTTCTTTCTACTAGGCCAAGCTAAGGATATTAGTCAAGTTAACAATTTTAATTTTTAGAGAGAATTAATTTCTTTGACAAATCAATTCCAACGGAAACATTTCCATTTCATGTAACAAAGACTAATAACAATCTACTGTTTTTGGTATTAAGAATTTACTTAAAATGATAATTATTTCTAAAATGTCTCATTATAAAACGAAATTGCATTTGTATTTTTTGTGAAAATTTAAACAAGAATACTAAAGTTAAAGTTTTATCGAAATCTCTGGTGGAAGAATTAGTCGATGAGGGATCAATTTAGGTAGACCTAAGCTCTTTTCAAATTTTTAGGGATGAGTTCCTTTTATATATATTTTCTAATCATTGACTTTCCAATTTAATTTTTTCTCTTTCCTTTATCACAAAAAAACTAAAGAATTTTTTTTAATATTATTTTTTTTTTAATGTAGAAATTTACAAATTGAAAATAAACTACTACTTAATCTAAATTCAAATGATAACGAATTTAATAATAGGAAGAAAATAACAAAATAATAAATTAAGTTCGTGAAGAGAATAATCATATTAATTTGAGTTGTTATTATCGATCAGTAGTATTTCATCAAGATAAATAAATAAAAAAAAAGAAGTGAGGTGATAATTTCATTTACTGTTGTATACATTAGTTGAATAATTAAATTAATTAAGAATTATAAATATTTATAAATGAAAATATACTAGCAGAAGATACTTTAGACGGAAATCTTTTTTTAAGCTTATACATTAATTTAACCTTGTGTAGGATCATAAATATGGAAAAGAAAAGAACAGTAATTTATTAAGATTTAGTGAAAATTAATATTATATTATTATTATAAGTACCAAATTACAAAAGGAGATTGTTGTAATAAATAAATGAAATTTATGAAGCTGTTTCAAAGATAAGATTTACAATAAATAAAGATGCCAACCATAATAATATTATTTTCTTTTCTGTTTATTAAATATTCAAAATTAAATCTAAAAAATAATCTGCCTCTAAAAATAGTATAAATCACATCTTCAATTAGATTTCTAGTATGCATTAAAATACAACTTCCAATATAATATGCTTTATCAATTTACTGAAGTATTAAGAAATTTAAATTATTAAATTGATCTTTAATTAATTTCAGTTGAAATCAATGATATGCGAAATTTTTAATTTCCTTAAATAATAAGAATATGTCTATCATTATATATAAATTTTTCAGATTGTTTTTTCCCTTTGCTACCTATCTTCTAAAGACATTTCTAAAATTCCTTCTTCCTTGACTTTAACTAATTATTGAGCCAGGTTAACTTTGAGTTCTAGTGACTGATTAATTAATATGTTTTTAAAAGCTTCTTACTGACTTTAAAATATTAGAAGATTGGAGGTTTAAATTATGCATTTCCTTTAGTTTTGGAAATTTGAATCCTCAGTTCTTATTGTTGATGAAGTTGAATTCTTACCCATCCAGTTTGATTAATGAATTTCTGAAGTTTCATTTATAGTCTCATTCTAATCTTCGAAATAAAATTAATTTACTTTAGATATCATTTCTAATATTCAAATTTGTCAACTTATTTTATCAACTAATCTTTTTCCTATTTTATCTTTAGAGTTTGTGATCTGATAGCCTATCCATCAAATTACTAAGAGTAGTGTTTTCTTTAAGAAGTTTATAATTATTAGTAGTTCTCTAGTATGCCACCTTCTAAAGTTTTTGATTCTTTGTTGCTGAATCTAATCTTAGCCTAATTCTTTTTATTAGCTGAATTCTCCAAATAACCTAAGTTATGAGTGTACTTAAAAGCCCAACTCATATGCCTACTCAATTAATTCATAAATTTCCTCTATAGGCTAACATATAGCAAGTTATTAATTTATTTCATACGATGTAAATTTCATTTCACTGCAGAGATAAATGTAAAAAAGAATAATCTAGCATATTGACTTGGAAATACTCGTATTTATGAACATAATCCAGTTTTCATGAATTTTATAATTCCCATATGACTTCCCTTATTAGTTGATTAATATTAAAATCAATGTATTATAAATTATAATTAGAATTTTAAATTAACTGTCTAATTAATTTTGAGTACTTACTGATTATTATGTTTTTTATTAATTTTAATAATTTTCAATTTATTCTAAAACTTAATATTTTTAATTTTTATAATTTATTTAAAATACCTTGACTAGTATACTATTATCTTAACAATAATCCTAATTTTTAGCAAATTCCCTTCAATTCTTAAGTTTATTATGTGTTAGATGTAGGTTAGTGAACCTTCCTTTTAGTCCTAGACTGGTAAGGTTTAAATCAACCCCCTCTATCTGATAAGAGTTTTGTATAATAGTAAGCCTAAGATCTTTGGCATCAATTTTGCTATGTTGGATTCAATATGTATAGTCTTTTGATCTTTATTCAAATTATCAAGGAAAAATTTTTTCTACAAAATTAACCATTCACTAAATTATGATTTGATATAAGCCATAAAGAACGTAAGATTAAGTTCTCTATTCTACAGTTTTTTTTCTTTTTTATTGGTTTCGTCTTCTTTAATTTCTCGGCTAACCTTAAGCAATTATTGAAGCAATAATTTCCTATTATTCATAATTTTTTGTTTAAGTTAGGGCATTCTTCTAGATATATCTGGCTTTCTATTCATACATCTATTTTATCATTCCGAATAACTTATTCTTCCGTTCTTTATATTGATTTGTCTAAAAATTCTAACCAAAACTTTACAGTAATATTAAACTATAAAGTGACCTAGCAGTAAGAATTATGTTAAAATACATTAGATAAATTAGAATAAAAAGTAGTAAGTTTTAAATTAAGGAAAAATGATGAATTTTAGTTAGACATTTGAATTTTTAATAATAAGATTGAATTTAAAGAATTGGTTCAACTAGAACGAGCATTCTATTTTTAGGGTTGACATAAATCTTCCTGTAAATAAAGTTTCTTAAGCTCTAATTTTCAACATTTAAAACCTAGGGTGGTTAATAGAGCAGGCTAATTAAAAAGGTGTCATTTAGCACAAATGGGACCCTTGCCCAAAAAAAAGAATTTTTTTTTAATTAAAATCACTTATTCTGGTCTTAAAGTAGTTGTCATCACTTATTAGCCTTTGATAAGGGCTTTTTAAAGGCAGCCCTAAATTGTAGTTTGGCAGGTACCCTTCATCAACAAACTGCTTTAAAACCAGCACTTAATAATTTAATTTTAATAAAAATGGTATTTGTTTCAACTTCTCTGGTGTGTCATCAGAATAGGTTCTTTTTTTGAAAAGATACCATCATCTTATTTCAAGAGTATCTCACCAGCTTCTCCAATAATAAAATAACTTTGTCAAAAATTTATTAATCCTAAAGGCTTAACTATTTATTATTATTTGCATCCTAATTAATTTTGCGTTAGCTTAAGATTATTATTTTTAGTAATTTATTTTCAACTAAATTACTTGAAAAATTATTTTTTTCTTCCTAATTTTAATAAAATTTCAACATATTTTCTTAATTATCCAAAAAGTAAATTATTTTTTCAAAATTTTATATTCTTGCTAAGTCTAAAATAAAACTGTGAGTTTCAAGTATAGATTATTCTTCAAGAAAAAGTTAGCGAAATATAAAATTTTAATATTTAGGTACATTATTTAAAGTTAAAATTATAATCTTTCATTATTTCCATAAATAATTTACAAATTTCACAATTAAAAATATAAAAAAAACTATTCAAGTTGAAATCTTATACAATCTAGCAACCTGAATTAAATTACTTGCTTTTAATATTAATGAGAAAATATTTTAGCTATATAAGTGATAAACACTATCCCTATAAAGCCATCATAATTATTTCATTTGAATAAATGGGATTAGTTAAAATTAAATATTTATGAACTTTAGATTGTTCATAATGAAGTTAACAAATATTTCGGTATTCAATCTAAAAAATCAAACCTTATTCTTTATTATTTAATGGATAATATTTATAAACTTAAAAGATCTTCCTAATTAAAAAAAATTAGAATAAGATATGAATACGCCTAGTTTCAAATTATTTTAATCCAAATAATTATCATTGTATTATATTTAAAATTAAAATAAATAAGATGTTACTTCGAAATTAATTTCAATTAAATTTTTTTTCAGTATTATTTATTCCTTTGCAAGCTAAGGCTGTTACCATTTACTTTCATATTGATTTTAGTAAATTTCTCAAGGAAAATATTGTCTTATTAAGCTTTATTTGAGAAAAACCCCATTAATTAATTTTATAATATTTTTTTCTAATTTTCTCATATATATTAAAGATTATTCATAATTCCTTTGCATTTTCTAATTTATATTTCTTTTGATTTCTAATCCCAAGTGATTAAATATTCGCCATCATTACTTAATTAACCAAAAATATGAGATGATCAAATTGAATAGTTTATTCAGTCACAAAATCTCCGTTTTCTAACTTTCTTATTAAGTTGATATGGTATCCATTTTTATTCACTAAAAGACATTTACATTTT